CCAACACAAGTTAAGTAATGTGGAGTAATATAGTCATCCCAAATGTAGATGGAGTATAGAGAAAAACTGAAGGATGTTTTTCAAGCCTGTCAATATACTGGGACACAAGCTTGGACATCCAAATGACCCAACACAAGGTAAGTAACGTGGAGTAATATAGTCACCCCAAATGTAGATGGAGTATCGGAAAAGCTCAGAAGGATCTTCAATATTATCCCTGTGTCCTTCAAGCCCGACAACATATTGGGACAGAAGCTTGGACATCCAAATGACCCAACACAAGGTAAGTAATGTGGTGTATGCAGTGGACTGTTGTGAGGAATGCAAAGACTTGTACATTGAGGTGACAAAACAACCTCTCAACAAATGAATTTCCCAACATAGGAAGGAAAATTCTACAGGTCAGGATTCAGCAGTCCTCATTCTTTCAAGGACAGTGTGGTTCACATTTTGGTTAGACAGGACAACTGATTTGCAAGAGGTGTGAAAGATGCCATCTATATCAGACTTGCAGAACCACAAAGTCAAGCAAAAATACAGTACCATTGAACAGAGGGGAGAAACAGAACACGAGGAGTAATATAGTCATCCCAAATGTAGATGGAGTGTCGGAAAAGCTCAGAAGGATCTTCAACAAACATTATCACTGTGTACTTCAAGCCCGACAATATATTGGGATACAAGCTTGGACATCCAAATGACCCAACACAAGGTAAGTAAATTGATGTTTTTCAGTGGAGTTGAGTGAGGAATGCAAAGACCTGTACAATGAGTTGACAAAACAACCTCTCAACAAATGAATTTCCCAATATAGGAAGGAAAATTCTACAGGTCAAGATTCAGCAGTCTTCATTCTTTCAAGGACAGTGAGGTGCACATTTTGGATAGACATTACAGCTGATTTGCAAGAGGCATGAAAGAGGCCATCTAAATCAGACTTGAAGAACCATCACTAAACAGGGGTGAAGGCCTTCAACACCATCTGTCCTCCAAATATAATGCCACTTTAACATCTCTACCTTTGGAAATTGACAACAAATTACACCTTCAAACATGTGATTAGAAAAATCAACACATATGCACACGTCCAAGAGTGAGATTATATAACTAGAACAGGGGGCTTCCAAAACTTTCATACCCCCCTTCCGGTTCTTGGACAATCAGCATTTGACTTGACACATTCCATGGTGATTGGATAAAGGGTGTCTGGCCTATCTGTGTGGATATAAATGGTGGGGAAGGTTCCTGAGGATAGAGTGGGCAACACTTAAAGCTGAAGTTTAATCTGCTCCCTCTGCTTCATCAACCTGCTAATTAAATGTTTAATAAAAAACCTTTCCATTTTTATTAAAAAAGCCTTATTTAAGACCCAGTGACATCATCACTGGGACTCTGTACTTCTTTATGCAATGCAGGTATCATGGCTGTTGGGAGGGGCCAACAGGGGCTGTACATAGTTTCCTGAAATCAAACACTCCTTTCAAGAGCTTTAAGACCTGATGCAAGTAGTGGGCTTGTTCTTGGAGGTGTTATGCAAATATCAAACCTCCTTGATGGTCAGGTGCCAGTTCGGAGGAGTGGGCATTCCTAGGCAGGGTATGTTTGCATGCAGACTACCCTAGGTAACACCCACATGTGATGCTGAGTCTCCATGACTCCATTGTCTGAGTCCTAGTTAGATAGAGGAGGTGACAATCCCTTTCCTCTCTTTTAAAAGTGACCGGTTTTGGGCCTTAACATCCCAAATGTGTTTCTGAGGTCTGAAAAATAGTAGAGGGGAGAAAACTTCATACAAATAAATATAACCCTGCGAGTCAAGTTGGTTCACCCCAGGCAAACTGATACACACTGGTACCCAGACTGGTGTGATTCTTGAACTTCTTCAGGAACCCATTATGCTCGAAGGAACCCTACAGTTCTCCCAACCCCTCACTGGTTACCACCAGTCACCAGTGCAAAAGCGAGTCGATGGGAATCCTGCCTTTTCTTTAAAATATAAATTTGTTTCAAAGATAAACAAAAGAGAGGCATGGGAACACATACATTGGCAATATCTCAACACATGGTATCATCAACCCTCAATGCAAGGTGTGATGGGAGTCACTTTGAGTCGGGGGCCCATGGAACCCAGCTCACTTTGAAGAGGTGGGGAGACCCCTGTCTCAGCTCCCCATATCCCTCTTATGTGTAAGTCACCCTGTGCCTGTTAGGGGTACAGGATGATCTGTCCTAATATTGGGGTGGAGGGTTGTGGATTGTTTAATGCCATGTGGTTGCATCCCATTGTTCTATTGTGTGTCTTGCTTGGGAGCAAACTATTATGGGATGTGTGTGTTTATGTGTATTGGCTTGGTGGGGGGTGTTTCCAGCAGCCCACCCTCCTGATGGGACTGTCTGCTGGTGTGTCTTTTGTTACTAAAGGCAGATTGCCCCACCCTGTGTCATTATGCAGGAAGGGGGGGTTGTTCCCTTGAATGTATATATCTTGTATCTGTGTTAAAATAAAGTAGTCTGTTTCCTGGTTTACTTCAAGACTGGTGATGTCTAGTCTTGTATGGTCGGCTGTGGTGTCTGGTGTCGGTGTTCGGATGGGGAAGCGGTATCCTAACGGAAGTACCGAAGTGTAGCCTGGAGTCGGTTCCGTTACACAAGGTAAAGAGAGATCAAGTGAAAAACATACAATTGGTATTTCTAGATATGTTTCATTAAGAATCGAAATTTGGACAGAATTTTTGTTATTCGGAGATTCAAATTCATCCAAATACTCTGAATCACAATAGTAAGGAATTTCAACAAACCACAAAACAACAAATTCATTCATATTCATTAATTGCATTGGCATGATGCACTAGTTTGGGCCTTTTCTTAATATTTGGTGCATCCAAAGTAACATAACAAATGATCCAAATTGATTCAGATCCATTTCGTCTTTATTTTGTATTAACAATTTTCATTACTATAAAAAATGCACCACATATGAAATGGAAACATAAGGCAATAAATACAGTAAGTTATAAAAGTGAATAAGACTAATAAGATGACTATTATTACTTATCTCGATGAGGTTGGATGAAGGTGACTCCATCAGAATCTCCGAATGAAAACATAACAAATGAATCCTAAATTAATTTAATACCATTTGTTACTGATGCAAGTGTAGCACCCTCCTAGTCAGCTAGGGGGAGCTAGACTCTAATTGTTAGCTAGGAGGACTGAGTTGCAGCCTGGGTGTAAAAGCCAGGTGGTTCAAATTCAGATCAGAGATGAGAGGCTGTGCAGACAAGCTCACTGGAATTTCACCCTGCTCTAGTACTCTGGAGAAAGATCTAGAAGCAGTGTGTGGAGGTGAGGAGTGACTGGTCTGTACTCTTAGAGGATCCTGGCCAATCCCCAACAGGAGGCTTGGCAAGGGGCCAGGACAGTCTTTAAGAGTAACTGAGCCTGCTCTGCAGCAGGAGAGTTGGAGGAGAGTTCGAGTGGAAGATGAGGAAGTGAGGCTGGAGAACAGGGGCCAAGATGGGAGAGGGGCTCACCTCCAAGCAGGAGAATCTTGGAAGGAGGAAAGTTTGGGACTTCACCGGCCCTCTGAGAGAGGACCACCTGTAAAGCAGGGAAGGAGCGGCCCAGATAGAGGGCCTGGTAGCAGCCACCAACCCACCTGCAACATAGAAGGACTGAGTGAGTAGACCTGCACCCCCTGGGCCAGATAGGGGTAGGAGCACTCTTGTGAAAAACCAGATTAGCAATTACTCGGGACTCTATAACTCTAACATGGCAGGCACTGGATCCCCTGCTCAGGGATTTCCCTCAGCTAGCTGGATGAGAAAAGGATTCATCTGGGGTGGTACAGCAGGAGATACTGCCTAGCTCTACTGAAGAGACTGTTTGCTGTAAAGACTTATACATAGTTGCTAAGGAGTTTGTCCTTTGTTGCCCTTGGGCATCCCATACACCCCTTACCCCATCCAAGTTCAAATCCCCTAGTAAAACTTCAAAAAACAACCTTAAGGACTGGTTACTGTCTCCTAATGCAAGTCTGATGTGAAGGAAATGTGTGTTCCTGGCTGTGCAGGACTACAGGGGGACCCAAAGACTCCTCTTCTTGAAGGCACAAAGAGAAGCTTTCCTGAAAGAGCCTTGGAGGACTGATGAATGCTCATTCTCTGTATGTCAGTTGACTGGCCATAATGTTGTCCCATACAGGTAGGTAACTAGCATTTTCACAGCCCTTATATTTCTCATAGGAAAGGTTTCCTTTAAGTGATAAGTCCCCTTTAGGGAAAGCTGAAATGCTCTATTCTAGCCTTTTTCAACCAGGGTGCCCAGGCACCCTGGGGTGCCTTGATGTTTTTTTCAGGGGTGTCCTGGCAAAATGGCTAAAAATTGCCCAAAAATTGTATACAAGAGAGCTGGTGGATCAAGCCTGCCTTTTAGTTACACAAAAACCACAGGTTTTCATTAAACACCATTACAACCTTCTAGCCACCAGCATCCCAACCACCAATGCAGGGGCGGACTGACCATTTGGAAACTCGGGCACTGCCCGAGGGCCCAGGGACAGTAGGGGGCCCCATGAGATGCCCCTGGTACCTTTTTCATAGACTTTTTTGAGTTTGGGCAAGGACACAGGGGCCCCATGATCCCCTATTGCCCGGGGACCCCATGAGTTGTCAGTCCGCCCCTGCACCAATGATATCATCAGTTGCTAAGGAGGATGTAGATCGTCTGCACGGAATCCTTGTTTGTCCCTCTCCATCAGCGCTGGGATCACATTAGCTAAGTAATTGAGAAAATCTGAGGGAGAAGAGAAACCCTGGAATGCTGGTCAGTATAAGCGTGCAAAAGTGTATTGGATTTGGAGGAATAAATCACCTCTATCGTTGGGTGTCCTACATGTGTGGATGTTGATTACAATAGTTTTTTACATTTTAGAATGGGGTGCCTTGAGGCTGTCCATAATTTTAAAGGATGCCTTGAAATTGTCCATAATTTTAAAGGGTGCCTCAAGGCTGTCCATAATTTTAAAGGGTGCCTCGGGACTGTCCATAACTTTAAAGGGTGCCTCAAGGCTGTCCATAATTTTAAAGGGTGAATCGAGGCTGTCCATAATTTTAAAGGGTGAATCAAGGCTGTCCATAATTTTAAAGGGTGCCTCGAGGCTGTCCATAATTTTAAAGGGTGCATTGAGGTTGTCCATAATTTTAAAGGGTGCCTCGAGGCTGTCCATAATTTTAAAGGGTGCATTGAGGTTGTCCATAATTTTAAAGGGTGCCTCGAGGCTGTCCATAATTTTAAATTGTGAATCAAGGCTGTCCATAATTTTAAAGGGTGCCTCGAGGCTGTCCATAATTTTAAAGGGTGCCTCGAGGCTGTCCATAATTTTAAAGGGTGCCTCGGGACTGTCCATAATTTTAAAGGGTGCCTCAAGGCTGTCCATAATTTTAAAGGGTGCCTCGAGGCTGTCCATAATTTTAAAGGGTGAATCAAGGCTGTCCATAATTTTAAAGGGTGCCTCGAGGCTGTCCATAATTTTGAAAGGGGTGCTTTGAGGCTTCCATAATTTTAAAGTGTGCCTTGAAATTGTCCATAATTTTTAAAGGTGCGTTGACTGAAAAAAAAGGGTTGAGAAACACTGCTCTATTCTTCTGCATCTCATTCTGCAATCACGGGAAATACAGGAGTAATTAAATATTGGTTGAAGAAACACGCTTCCTTGCATAGGTAATTTCTATGTAAATTAGCTAATTAAAAAGCTTTTTCAGAGTGGAAGATATCGGAAAATCTCCTGACCGTACGGTTCTGTGATTTCTCCACCTTCGTGAGCTCAGGTCAGGTCTATAGGACAAATGCCTGATATTAAAGAGAAATTTCCATATAAAAGACATTACAAGCAGTTACAGTATAGTGGATACCTCTTACCTTTTTATTTCTTGTTTTTTAGAGACATACCCGAGGCTAAAGCACCCCCTAAAGAGCGGAATTCCCATTTTCTGAGGATGAAATTGTTACTGTAAGAAGTGGGGTAGGGGGGTCTCAGCTCTACCCAATGAAGCATGGTGACTTGTGTATGAACTGAACTCGCTGTAGATGTGTAGGGAATAATCTGATACTAGTTCCAGAGCCCATGCACTGTACTTTTTATTCTTTACGCTTCTTCTTCTTAATAAGACAATACATTATTGGCCTTCCTTGCTGGGAGTTTAGCCCTATCCATGTGCAATAATAAAACCACCTGACCACCGGTGACTGTTCCAATGAGACCGAAGTGGAGAAGAAGAAGCAGATCCTGGCCAGGTGACTTTTGGTGTAGAGGCTCCCCGAAGGATGAAGACCAAAGATCATGGAGAAAATGCAAAAGGTAAATTTAGGCCTTGGGGAAGGGTTGTTGGGGGGAAAGGGGTGGGAAATTTAACTGCAGGTATAAGTGTCGGTTAAAGCTAAACAACATCTAAGAAAAAGTAAAGGCACTTGACTTCAATATATGGGGCAGCACAGTGGCTAAATGGTTAGCACTTCCTCCTGGCAGTACTAGGGTCGTTGGTTTGAATCCCAACCACAGCACCACCTGCCTGGAGTTTGGATGTTCTCCCTGTGCCTGCGTGGGTTTCCTCGGGTGCTCCAGCTTCCTCCCACACTCCAAAGACATGCTGGTAGGTGAATTGGCTCATGTCTAAATTGTCCCTAGTATGTATGAATGTGACTTAGGGACCTTAGATTGTATGCCCCTTGAGGGTTAGGGACCGATGTAAAATAAATATATTTATCTGTCGATCAAGGGGTATTGGTTTGGATTGAAGACTAAAAGAAAAAATCCAGGTATGTATATTGTACATAGTTACTGTCAGAGCCTGGGTCCAAACCTGGGCCTTTTGCAGTGAGTGGCAATGTTTCTTCTTGCTGAGCCACCTGGAATGCTGGACAGCTCCCTTGACAATTATTTGGATGATCCTATCTTCACCTTGTTTGTCATGAACCTTGAACCCTTGCTCCTCCCATGAACTTCCTGATATAAGCCATGTCTCTGCACTTCCTGTTTGCCAGATTATTGTGGTCTCCAGCCAGTATCGCGCTCCTTGCCTTCTCTGCTGTTATCCATAATTTGCTACCACTCGTTATTGACCCTTGGCGTGTTCTCGACTACGCTTCTGCCTGATCCCAACCTGCGACTGCTCCTTACCGACCATGGCTTGTTTACTGACCACGCTTCTGTTTGATCCTTACCTGCTTACACGCTACTGGATCTCCACTTGGTCACCTCCTCGTGGGGTGATCCTGAGGACCGTGAACTGGTGCAATCACGCAGCAAAATTCATGTCCACCATCAGGAGCTCTGGTGAACACCGGTTGATACTTAGACTCCACACCTCGGGTGATCCCACTTCTCCGCCACAGTGACCTACCTGTGTACCTATCCTGCTGGTTTCAGGTGAGCCTTTCCACTGCTATAGCAACTGGTCTTCGAGCCTGACCCCTGATCGTGACAGTTAGGTCCAGCTTGGACCAGTATAACTATGCATTTACCATACCTGTGGGTTCCCTCTAGAAGCTAGGGTTCCTACCACAGTGATCTCCACTGCCTTCCGGGTTGCACACCGAGCAGCTACCTGACAAATGCAGTGTTGTCCGCTTGGCACGGACACCATTCAGAGAATGCTTTGCATTTTCTAAATGAAAGCAAAACATTCTCTGAATAGATGAGGTAGAGAGTGTGATGTCACTGCCCTGCTTCTTTACTTCATCCAATAAGAGGCAGGTTGTGTTCATTGAGAAAATACAAAGTGATCAATGCATGGCATCCATACCAGTCAGCCAACCTTCTTAGTTCAGAATGCAGCAATGGCAGCCACGGGATCCAGAAGATAGTTGAGATCGATGGAGTAGTTGGTGTCTACTACAGTCATTTCCAGCTTCTAGAGCAGCGGTTCTCAACCTGGGGGTCGAACGACACTTTCCCAGGGGTCACCTAAGACCATCGGAAAACACATCATATTTCCGATGGCCTTAGGAACCGAGACACCGCTCCTTGATCCGTCTGCAGGTGTGGGCGGGGATGGACATGCCGTCCCTGTCATCTGGACACACCCCCGGGATCAATCCTTCCTCGTCGGTGATTGGCCGCCGGAACTGTAGCTCAAGAGAAGCACACAGGCGGCCAATCACCGGCGAGGAGGTGGAGCTTGGAAAGGAGGAGCCGAGCGGCACCGCGAAGCACGAGCGAGTGAAGAGGAGGAAAGCGGCCGGAGAAGGAAGCCATCTGACCGGTAAGTGTTTGTACCATGGGAGAGGGAGGGAGCGAGCGAGCCCAGGCTGGAGCAGGGGTCAGCAAGGTAAGTATCATTGGTGTCAGTGGGAGGAATAGTGCCCAATCATTGGTGTCACTATTACCAATGATGGGGCACTATTCCTCCCCCCACTGACACCAACGATGGGGCACTATTCCTCCCACTGACACCAACGATGGGGCACTATTCCTCCCACTGACACCAACGATGGGGCACTATTCCTCCCACTGACACCAACGATGGGGCACTATTCCTCTCACTGACACCACGATGGGGCACTATTCCTCTCACTGACACCAACAATGGGGCACTATTCCTCCCACTGACACCAACGATGGGGCACAATTCCTCCCACTGACACCAACGATGGGGCACTATTCCTCCCACTGACACAAACGATGGGGCACTATATCCTCCCATTGACACCAACGATGGGGCACTATTCCTCCCCCCACTGACACCAAGGATGGGGCACTATTCCTCCCACTGACACCAACGATGGGGCACTATTCCTCCCACTGACACCAATGATGGGGCACTATTCCTCCCACTGACACCAATGATGGGGCACTATTCCCCCACTGACACCTATGATGGGGCACTATTCCTACCACTGGCACCAATGATGGGCGCACTATTCCTACCACTGACACCAATGATGGGGGCACTATTCCTACCACTGACACCAATGATGGGGCACTTTTCCTACCACTGACACCAATGATGGGGGCACTATTCCTACCACTGACACCAATGATGGGGGCACTATTCCTACCACTGACACCAATGATGGGGCACTATTCCTACCACTGACACCAATGATGGGGGCACTATTCCCCCACTGACACCAATGATGGGGCACTATTCCTCCCACTGACACCAATGATGGGGGCACTATTCCTCCCACTGATACCCAATGATGGGGCACTATTCCTCCCACTGACACCAATGATGGGGCACTATTCCTCCCACTGACACCAATGATGGGGCACTATTCCCCCACTGACACCAATGATGGGGCACTATTCCTCCCACTGACACCAGTGATGGGGCACTATTCCTCCCACTGACACCAATGATGGGGCACTTTTCCTCCCACTGACACCAGTGATGGGGACACTATTCCCTCTCACTGACACCAATGATGGGGCACTATTCCTCCCACTGACACCAATGATGGGGCACTATTCCCCCCACTGACACCAATGATGGGGCACTATTCCCCCACTGACACCAATGATGGGGCACTATTCCCCCCACTGACACCAATGATGGGGCACTATTCCCCCCACTGGCACCAATGATGGGGCACTATTCCCCCCACTGACACCAATGATGGGGCACTATTCCCCCACTGACACCAATGATGGGGCACTATTCCCCCCACTGACACCAATGATGGGGCACTATTCCCCCCACTGACACCTATGATGGGGCACTATTCCTCCCCCCACTGACACCAACGATGGGGCACTATTCCTCCCCCCACTGACACCAACGATGGGGCACTATTCCTCCCCCCACTGACACCAACGATGGGGCACTATTCCTCCCACTGACACCAATGATGGGGCACTATTCCTCCCACTGACACCAATGATGGGGCACTATTCCCCCCACTGACACCTATGATGGGGCACTATTCCTACCACTGGCACCAATGATGGGGCACTATTCCTACCACTGACACCAATGATGGGGGCACTATTCCTACCACTGACACCAATGATGGGACACTATTCCTACCACTGACACCAATGATGGGGGCACTATTCCTACCACTGACACCAATGATGGGGGCACTACTATTCCTACCATGATGGGGCACTATCACCAATGACACCAATGATGGGGGCACTATTCCTACCACTGATACCAATGATGGGGCACTATTCCTCCCACTGACACTGACACCAAGGACGTGGCACTACTCCTCCCACTGCAAAATTACAGTTATGAAGTAGCAACAAAAATAATTTTTATGGTTGGGGGTCACCACAACATGAGGAACTGTATTAAGGGGTCGCGGCATTAGAAAGGTTGAGAACCACTGCTCTAGAGGGATCCTACAGATAAGGTATAGGCATAGTTATTGGACCAAGCTTGTCCAATGTAACTATGTAATAATTTCCATCCCTGGAATTCTTCTTTAACCTTGGCAGCTCTACCACAAGGCCAAGGGCCCCAAGGGATGATGGCCTCCCTAACTGAACCAACCAAGTGAAATCATCAAGAAGAGCACTATAAGGTCATCCCAAGAGTTCATATTATTTACTGTTGCTAACAATGAGACAAAAGGAAGATAAAATGTAACCAATGTGTTTCAGGGTGCCAACAACACCCCTTGCAGCAGCAGGGCTTAGGTGGAAAAATGATAAAGCTTTTATTAGGATTCTATATGAAAACTCCTGGAAAGTGTTCTTTGTCAGGAGAGGAGCAATACATTGTTACCTCTGTTACAGTCTACATCTGTTGTAGGTACTTGTGCAGCTAAACATATTAAACCCAGCACAACCCTGTCTGGCAGAACATAGAACCTGATTTTTGTCTACTGCAGTTAAAGTGTTACTAAACCCCGGACCCTGCGTTCACTATATCCGCTCTCCACGGACCCTGTCCAATGCGTTCACTATATCCGCTCTCCCCGGACCCTGCGTTCACTATATCCGCTCTCCCCGGACCCCGCATTCACTATATCCGCTCTCCCCGGACCCCGCATTCACTATATATCCGCTCTCCCCGGACCCTGCATTCACTATATCCGCTCTCCACGGACCCTGCGTTCACTATATCCGCTCTCCCCGGACCCTGCATTCACTATATCCGCTCTCCCCGGACCCTGCATTCACTATATCCGCTCTCACGGACCCCGCATTCACTATATCCGCTCTCCACGGACCCTGCATTCACTATATCCGCTCTCCCCGGACCCTGCATTCACTATATCCGCTCTCCCGGACCCTGCATTCACTATATCCCTCTCCACGGACCCTGCGTTCACTATATCCGCTCTCCCCGGACCCTGCGTTCACTATATCTGCTCTCCCCGGACCCTGCATTCACTATATCCGCTCTCCCCGAACCCTGCGTTCACTATATCCGCTCTCCCCCGGACCCCGCGTTCACTATATCTGCTCTCCCCGGACCCTGGCATTCACTATATCCGCTCTCCCCGGACCCTGCATTCACTATATCTGGCTCTCCCCGGACCCTGCATTCACTATATCCGCTCTCCCCGGACCCCGCATTCACTATATCCGCTCTCCCCGGACCCTGCATTCACTATATCCGCTCTCCCCGGACCCCGCATTCACTATATCCGCTCTCCCCGGACCCTGCATTCACTATATCCGCTCTCCCCGGACCCGCATTCACTATATCCGCTCTCCCGGACCCTGCATTCACTATATCCGCTCTCCCCGGACCCTGCATTCACTATATCCGCTATTCCCGGACCCTGCATTCACTATATCTGCTCTCCCCGGACCCTGCATTCACTGTATCTGGTCTCCCCGGACCCTGCATTCACTATATCCGCTCTCCCCGGACCCCGCATTCACTATATCCGCTCTCCCCGGACCCCGCATTCACTATATCCGCTCTCCCCGGGACCCCGCATTCACTATATCCGCTCTCCCCGGACCTCGCATTCACGCTATATATCTGGTCTCCCCGGACCCCGCATTCACTATATCCGCTCTCCCCGGACCCCGCATTCACTATATCCGCTCTCCCCGGACCTCGCATTCACTATATCTGGGCTCCCCGGACCCTGCATTCACTATATCCGCTCTCCCCGGACCCTGCATTCACTATATCCGCTCTCCCCGGACCCCGCATTCACTATATCCGCTCTCCCGGACCCCGCATTCGCTATATCCGCTCTCCCCGGACCCCACATTCACTATATCCGCTCTCCCCGGACCCCGCATTCACTATATCCGCTCTCCCCGGACCCCGCATTCACTATATCCGCTCTCCCCGGACCCCGCATTCACTATATTCGCTCTCCCCCCTGCATTCACTATATCTGGTCTCCCCGGACCCCGCATTCACTATATCTGCTCTCTCCCGGACCCCCGCATTCACTATATCTGCTCTCCCCGGACCCTGCATTCCCTATATCTGGCTCTCCCCGGACCCCGCATTCACTATATCCGCTCTCCCCGGACCCTGCATTCACTATATCCAGTCTCCCCGGACCCCGCATTCACTATATTCGCACTCCCCGGACCCTGCATTCACTATATCCGCTCTCCCCGGACCCCGCATTCACTATATCTGATCTCCCACAATACACAGAACATGGAAATGCAATTATTTTAGTAAATATAAACTGCTAAATCCCAAGTATATAGCACTCTTGTGACTTCTATCAGTGTCCATCAGAGCACTGGTTAAAGCTTGTAGGAGGAGTTTTCATTCTCCCCTGATTGTCCTAAGAGGCTGCATAACCCCTGACCCTGTGTCTGGACAGCGCTGATTTGCCCTGTGCTGATCAAAGGCACTCTCCCAAGAAGAAAAAAATAAACTCTCTAGCAATACACAACAAACTGAGCACGTGCACAGCGCCCCCAAGGCTCCTCTATCAGCATTGGGGACTGTGGATGAAAGGGAGGATCAGAGAAGACAGGATCAAACAGCCTTTTTACACAATGCAGAGGATTAACCCCTTAGGTTCCACAGTGAGTATAACAAGCATGCTGCACTGCATCTACAGACTGATTGTACTGTTGTGGGTTTAGTAACACTTTAAGTAACACATACTGGTCACTCCCTTAGCCTGTGACTTGACAGGGAAAAGAGAAGCAGCAGACTAATGAGCTAATCTCTGTCACTCTGGTTTCTCCTCCTATCAGCATGCTCCTTGTTAGCGCAGCAACACTGCAGCACAACTGATTGGCTCCTTGCGCTGCTTCTGCCTCACCTTGTCTCAGCTCTGCTGTAGCAGCAAGAAGCTGATGTCAGGCCAAATCCAGGTATTTACATGACTTGCGTTAAAAAGACTGTATATGTCAAACGAAGTACTAATCATTAGATTTTTTGTTTTGTTTTTTTTTTTAATGTAAGTGTACAATCCAAACGCACACGTTCCTGCGTTAAAAATGGCGGTGTGTATAAGTGGGTGCTGCAGGGACCGTCAGCTGGAACCGAACAGAATCAGCAAGGGAAAATGTCACCAGCATACCGAGGATCACCAATCAATATGGGGCCAAAATGTTTTAATGAACGATCACATAGTTACAGCAAGGCAACGTTTCGGAGTCTCGCAGGACCTCTTCATCAGGCGCGTGATAAAGCCCGGAGCTTACATTTACCCAGTTGGTGCCGGCCGACGGCCGAACGTAAATTTGCGGCCTCCCGGCATCTGGGCCTGACACCGAGCGGCCGCACATTTGCGTTCTATTAAAAAAAACATGTGCTGAAAGCGCGCGCGCCCTGCACACTCCCAACACACACGTTTGGTACTTACGGAAAGGTCCCGATCTCCTCTTTCGATCGGGACCTTTCCCGATCATGTGACCGCGAATCATGGCGGTCACATGACCCAAAAAACCCCGCCTCCTGGGTTCTGGAACCCTTAAAGGGCCGGGAGGCGCCGGCACCAGGTGGTTAAGGCTACATTCACACTAGCTTTGTCAGCAGGCATCAGACAGGTGTTTGGGAAGCGTTTTTAAGGCTTCCCAAATGCCTGTCTAAGGCCCCATGTACACTGCAGCTGATAAACTCACGGTCGGGAGCTGTTCAGCGTTTTTTTTCAGCAGCCCCTGAACTCTCCCTAATGTTCTCCTATGTGTCCATGTACACATCTTCATTTACAGTCCTTTACAGGCAGTTGAGTTTACAGTCGTTTTTTTGAACACAGAAAACTTGCGTTCAGCAGTCGATTTTATCAGCGTTTCAAACGTTTGGTAATTTTTTTTAACTCATCCATTTCCAGATGCTATCCAGAGCTTTTTTTCATCAGGAAAAATGCATGCAAAGTGTTTTCCCGGTACTCAGATGGACCCGGTACACCATACTTTGAGGTTTCGCATGAAAGAAAATATGTTAAACACTGCTGCAATAAAGGTACTCAGATGGACAAAACACTGAACACAGGATGTTCCTACCAAGCTTGTCACACATTGTAATGACCAATTCACACCTCAGACCTCTCCCACCCTTGGAAACAAAGATATGTTTGATCATTCACACCTCAGACCTCTTCCACCCTTGCAAACAAAGATATGTTAATGATCATTCACACCTCAGACCTCTTCCACCCTTGGAAACAAAGATATGTTAATGACCATTCACACCTCAGACCTGTTAATGACCCACACCTCAGACCTTGGACCCTTGGAAACAAAGATATGTTAATGACCATTCACACCTCAGACCTCTCCCACCCTTGGAAACAAAGATATGTTAATGATCATTCACACCTCAGACCTCTCCCACCCTTGGAAACAAAAGATATGTTAATGACCATTCACACCTCAAATTCCTCATGAAGACCCCCTGCCAAACGTTTGTAAACGCGTGTAAACATGTCTAAATGCAGCTATCCGCGTTTATAGGCATTTTACATTTTTTTTTAACTCTCCCAGTTCCAGATGCTATCCAGAGCCTTTTTTCATCAGGAAACATGCATGCAAAGCGTTTTCCAGGTACTCAGATGGACTCGGTACACCATACTTTGAGGTTTTGCATGAAAGAAAATATGTTAGACACGGCTGCAATAATTTCTGCACAGAAATGAGCCGGAACACATCCAAACACCACAGAAAAAAAAGGCAGCTAATCTCAACACATACTGCTGTCTCTGCTTCTACTCTCTGTATTTCTCTGAAACAGTCTGAAATAGTTAATAATTTACCACTTTTCAGTGCATTCTGGGCATTTGGGAGGTTCTCCTGAGGTCATCTTAAAAAAAAAAACGCTTCTAAATGCAAACGCAAATAAACGATGTATGCAAATGCGGCTAAACAGACATTTTTTAACCTATGATTTCCAGCAGTCAGTTTCCATCGTTCAGAAGTGTTCCATGTACAAGGGGCCTAAGCGTGTTCGTTTGAAAAAAAAAAATATTTTTAACCCTTCCATTTCCAAATGCTGTCCAGAGCCTTTTTACATCATGCAAAGCGTTTTCAAGGTACTCAGATGGACAAAACACTGAACACGGGATGTTCCTACCAAGCTTGTCACACATTGTAATGACCAATTCACACCTCAGACCTCTCTCACCCTTGGAAACAAAAGATATGTTAATGACCGTTCACACCTCAGACCTCTCCCACCCTTGGAAACAACAGATATGTTAATGACCAGTCACACCCCAGACCTCTCCCACCCTTGGAAACAAAAGATATGTTAATGAACAATTCACACCTCAGACCTCTCCCACCCTTGGAAACAAAAGATATGTTAATCATCATTCACACCTCAGACCTCTCCCACCCTTGGAAACATTCACACCTTAGACCTCTCCCACCCTTGGAAACAAAAGATATGTTAATGACCATCACACCTCAAGTTCCTCATGAAGACCCCCTGCCAAACGCGTGTAAACATGCCTAAATGTAGCTAACTGCGTTTATAGGCATTTTACATTTTTTTTAACTTTTCCATTTCCAGATGCTGCCCAGAGCCTTTTTTCATCATGAAAAATGCATGCAAAGCGTTTTTCAGGTACTCCGATGGACCCGGTTTGCCATACTTTGAGGTTTCGCATGAAAGAAAATATGTTAGACACCGCTGCGATAATTTCTGCACAGAAATGAGCTGGATACTGCTCTCTCTGCTTCTGCTCCCTCTATTTCTCCTAAAATGTCTGAAATAATTAATTTTTTACTGGTTTTCAGTGCATTCTGGGCATTTTGGAAGGTTTCCTGAGGTTATCTAAAAAACGTTTCTAAACGCGGCTAAACTGCCATTTTGTAGCCTCCCTAGCAGGCTGATTATGTCCATATTTCTGTGCTCAAAGCGATACATTTTTTTGCATGGAAATATGTCGTTTTTTATTGTAGGCCTGTAATTTTTAGGAATAACTCACTGAAATCTGTCCGAACAAGAGTCTAGTAAACATCCCGGGAATGATAAAACATGAAACACGAAATCATAAATTATAATTTAATAAATATTCATAAAAAATAATAATATAATAATAATAAATTTAATTCAATAATATAATCAAACCAAAAACACTGAAATGTGAAATATAGCTCCAAGTTCGCACATCGCTGAGCAAAGTCGCAGAATCGTTTTCAGTGTATGATGAGGAATTTCCCCCACCAATCATTATCACTCAATTCTGCAAGTGGTTCTGATTTACTATCGCTGTTCTCTAGCCGGTCTAAAACCGCTTTTGACCTAAAGGGATGCTTTTTGGACGCCATGGACGTTTCTCAGTTTCCAGGCAGAAAGGGCGGTAAAAATGCAGGCAGGGCGCCGGACAAAGCACTCGGGACAACATGTATGTGAAATGGTTTGATATAGGAATGTTATACTATGTGATTTTACTGTATTTAGTGAATGTCACTTTTTGTGATTTTTAAATTTCCCGCCAGTTCCATCCCCGTACGTCCCGACGTCGCAGGGAACGGAACCCGGAAGACAGATGCCGGCATCGTCCGGAGGACATTACCGGGGACACTGCAGGAGGGACATCGCGGGAGCGCAGGACAAGGTAAGTGCAGAAGAGATCCCGAAGCAACGCTGCAGTGTATTCCTGAGTGTAGCTCGGGGGGGGTTACCGCTTGTGGTGCTGAAACTTTACCCCGAGCTACACTCGGGAATACCGCCAGAGGGGTTAACCTACCTTTTCCAGCAGTCAGTTTCCATCGTTCAGAAGTGTCCCGTGCAGGGGCGGACTGACAACTCATGGGGCCCCCAGGCAATAGGGGATTATGGGGCCCCTGTGTCCTTGCCCAAACTCAAAAAAACCTATGAAAAAGGTACCAGGGGCATCTCATGGGGCCCCCTACTGACCCCGGGCCCTCGGGCAGTGCCCAAGTTTCAAAATGGTCAGTCCGCCCCTGGTCCCGTGTACATAAAGCCTAACGCCTGTCAAATTCTTCGGGAGCGTTTGACAGAAGTTAGACATAAAGTCCAGTGTGAACGTAGCCTTGGCTTTTTCTTTGGGAAGTTCTGAGAACGGACGCTTTGACCAAGCTCTTCATAACTTCCACCAAACTGACTTCAAAAGTCTTCTCCATGGAAGGAAGCTGAAAAACGCAGACAGGGTCCCTTGCAGACTCCGGGTGCTTGTCACTGCCGATGATATATCCGAAACACAGGCTCATCAGTTTCTTGTTGGACGCCATTCAGAGCTGCCAGTTATCAGCTGTAGGTCTTCCGGAAACAAGAGAAATGTGAGCGCCGTTACCCAGGCTGCATTTCAAATAGAAATACATCTCCATCCTTCCTTTCTGAATAGAAAAATGAAAAGACGGCCCATAAACCACCGGCTCAGGAGCCAAGCAAATCATCCATCCGTGCGGAGAAACACTGCGACTGGGACGCAGACAAAAAAAAAAAGCTGACCACAGTTTATCGCACTTAGACAGAGGATGGGAGGTCGTAAATCAGAGACTCATCCACATGTTTATTAATACGCCATATATAAAAATATGAAAATAACACAGCGGGGGCGGCGATCGGAGAACCTAGAACAGCAACTACAGTGGGAGAAAATTTGGAAATGCGTTGAAAGCATATGTATAGGCAATTTTTTTTTTTTTTCAGTTTTGAAGATAAGGGCCCCATAACAACATTAAAAGAATCTAAAGAATATATTTTAAAAAATATATATTTTTTAAAACATATATTTTCTAAATATATTCTTCAGATTTTTTTAAACATATAAAAAAGTAATTTTAACATATATTTTTGCATATATTTGTAAATGTATTCCAAAATTGTAGATTTGTATTTTTAAAAATATTTTTCATATATTCTGTAAAAAAATAAATAAATGTGTGTGTGTGTGTGTGTGTGTGTGTGTGTGTGTGTATATATATATATATATATATATATATATATATATTGCATGTTGAAATGCATTTTTATTACATAATATATAAAAACTATTTTTAAAAATAAATTTCAAATATACTGTATGTCTTTTAAAATACAAATCTACATTTTTGGAATGCATTTACAAACATATGTAACAATATATATTAAAATTACTTTTTTATGTTGACAAAAAATCTGAAGAGTATATTTGAAAAAATATATATTTTTTAAATTATCTTTCATGTATTTTGTAATATATAAAAACCATATTTCAACATGCAGTGTGTGTGTATGTGTATATGTATATATATATATATATATATATATATATATATATATATATATGTGTGTGTGTGTGTGTGTATGTACAGTGGGGATCGAAAGTTTGGGCACCCCAGCTAAAAATTTGTATTAATGTGCATAAAGAAGCCAAGGAAAGATGGAAAAATCTCCAAAAGGCATCAAATTACAGATTAGACATTCTTATAATATGTCAACAAAAGTTAGATTTTATTTCCATCATTTACACTTTCAAAATAACAGAAAACAAAAAAATGGCGTCTGCAAAAGTTTGGGCACCCTGCAGAATTTATAGCATGCACTGCCCCCTTTGCCAAGCTGAGACCTGCCAGTGTCATGGATTGTTCTCAATCATCGTCTGGGAAGACCAGGTGATGTCAAGCTCAAAGGTTTTAAATGCCCAGACTCATCTGACCTTGCCCCAACAATCAGCACCATGGGTGCTTCTAAGCAGTTGTCTAGAAAACTGAAACTGAAAATAGTTGACGCTCACAAAGCTGGAGAAGGCTATAAGAAGATAGCAAAGCGTTTTCAGATGTCAATATCCTCTGTTCGGAATGGAATTAAGAAATGGCAGTCATCAGGAACAGTGGAAGTTAAAGCAAGATCTGGAAGACCAAGAAAAATATCAGACAGAACAGCTCGCAGGATTGTGAGAAAAACAATTCAAAACCCACGTTTGACTGCACGATCCCTCCAGAAAGATCTGGCAGACACTGGAGTTGTGGTACACTATTCCACTATAAAGAGATACTTGTACAAATATGGTCTTCATGGAAGAGTCATCAGAAGAAAACCTCTTCTACGTCCTCACCACAAAAATCATCATTTGAACTTTGCAAATGAACATATAGACAAGCCTGATGCATTTTGGAAACAAGTTCTGTGGACCGATGAGGTTAAAATTGAACTTTTTGGCCAGAATGAGCAAAGGTACGTTTGGAGAAGAAGGGGCACAGAATTTAATGAAAAGAACCTCTGTCCAACTGTTAAGCATGGGGTTGGATCAATCATGCTTTGGGGTTGTGTTGCAGCCAGTGGCACAGGGAACATCTCACGAGTAGAAGGAAAACTGGATTCAATAAAATTTCAGCAAATTTTGGATGGTAACTTGATGCCATCTGTGAAAAAGCTGAAGTTAAAGAGAGGATGGCGTCTACAAATGGATAATGATCCTAAACACACCTCGAAATCCAGGGGGGATTACATCAAGAGGCGTAAACTGAAGGTTTTGCCATGGCCTTCACAATCTCCTGACCTCAACATAATTGAAAATCTATGGACAGACCTTAAAAGAGCAGTGCGTGACAGACAGCCCAGAAATCTCAAAGAACTGGAAGACTTTTGTAAGGAAGAATGGGCAAAGATACCTCAAACAAGAATTGAAAGACTCTTGGCTGGCTACAAAAAGCGTTTACAAGCTGTGATACTTGCCAAAGGGGGCAGTACAAGATATTAACTCTGCAGGGTGCCCAAACTTTTACAGATGCCATTTTTTTGTTTTCTGTTATTTTGAAAGTGTAAATGATGGAAATAAAATCTAACTTTTGTTGACATATTATAAGAATGTCTAATCTGTAATTTGATGCCTTTTGGAGATTTTTCCATCTTTCCTTGGCTTCTTTATGCACATTAATACAAATTTTTAGCTGGGGTGCCCAAACTTTCGATCCCCACTGTATATGTGTGTGTATGTGTGTATATATATATATATATATATATACAGTCAGGTCCATAAATATTGGGACATCGACACAATTCTAACATTTTTGGCTCTATACACCACCACAATGGATTTGAAATGAAACGAACAAGATGTGCTTTAACTGCAGACTGTCAGCTTTAATTTGAGGGTATTTACATCCAAATCAGGTGAACAGTGTAGGAATTACAACAGTTTGCATATGTGCCTCCCACTTGTTAAGGGACCAAAAGTAATGGGACAATTGGCTTCTCAGCTGTTTCATGGCCAGGTGTGTGTTATTCCCAATTTATCCCAATTACAATGAGCAGATAAAAGGTCCAGAGTTCATTTCAAGTGTGCTATTTGCATTTGGAATCTGTTGCTGTCAACTCTTAAGATAGATCCAGAGAGCTGTCACTATCAGTGAAGCAAGCCATCATTAGGCTGAAAAAACAAAACAAACCCATC